GCTTGGTAAAGTCATATAGATGCCCATTTTACTAAAGAAGGTTTTTTTTAAATATCATCATGAACATACACTTTTTACAAAGCTTGGTGATAATAGTTCAATGCTTTTTGTATATTTGTATGTTAATGACTTGATAAATACCAGAAATGATATAGTCATGATTAATGCATTTAGAAAGAATATGATGACTGAATTTGATATAAGTAATTTGGGAATAATGCATTATTTTTTCGGTCTTGAGGTTATACAGTCACCAGCTAGTATTTTTCTTTCATAAAAGAAGTATGTTCATGAGATTTTGGACATGTTCAGTATGAAGAACTGTAATTCAGTTTTCACTCCAATTGAAGTTGGCTTAAAGTTGATGAAAGATGGACGGAAGAAGATAAATGCCAACTTGTACAAGAAAATTGTTGGAAGTTTAATGTATCTCACTTCAACTAGACCTAACATCATGTATGACGTTAGTTTAATCAGTCGGTACATGGAGAATCCAACTGAGAATCATTTCTCTATAGCAAAAAGAATTTTTCGTTACTTAAGAGGCACAAATGATTTCAGAATTCTTTATGTAGCTAATACAATTGAAAAATTGATTCGATTCTCTGATAATGACTTTGCATGTGACTTGAATGATAGGAAGAGTACATCTGGATTTATTTTTCTGATGGGTTCTGGGGCTGTATCATGGTCATCGAATAAGTAATAAATTGTTACTTTGTCCAGTACAAAGATAGAGTTTATTGCAATAGTAATATGCTCATGTCAAGCCATATGGTTAAGAAGATTGTTGGAAACACTCCATATTCAGCAACAAGGTTCTACAACAATCTTTTGTGATAGTGTTTCAACAATTAAACTTTTCAAAAATTCAATTTTACATGAAAAAAGCAAGCACACTGATGTTAGGTTCCATTTTCTTTGTGATCTTTGCAACAATGGAAGAATTGATTTGAAGTTTTGCATAAGTCGACATCAAGTGGCATATATTATAACTAAACCACTCAAACAAGTAGTCTTTGTTAAGCTTCGAAGAATGCTTGGAGTATGCTCTTCAAAGGAAATTGCTCAAAACCAAGCTTAGCTGGAGTTGTTAGAAACTAGTTCCTAAACTGATTTATCCAGATATCAGTTTAAGGGAGGGAATGTTAACAGTAATTTTAATTGTTTGTTAAGATATTTGATTTGTTAGAAATTTTTATGGTATTGTTTTGATCATTCGTAAGTTTTAGCACTTCAATTTATGTTAGTGGATTATTGTTTCTTATTTTATAGGAATAATAATTTAGTTGTTAGTAGTTGTAAAGCCTATTTAAGGCTGATTCGTATCAATTTCCAAAACAGTTTTTCAAGTTCAACTCTTGTCTTCTTTAATTTTGCTTTATCAATCCTATCTCTGCAATTTTTAAAGTTTACTTAGACACTCCATCCATCACCAACTTAATTCAACATAGCCAAATCCATTTTACACTTATTCATATATATATATATATATATTACACAAATAATATTTACCCTTGATGGGTTAACTTAGTTCTTTGTTAGACAATTAAGGGAATTGATCTCTTTGAAAATATGTTTTTTAGAGGAATAATTCTAATCATAATACATCTAATTATCTTGATCAAATATATACAAAATTCTATTACTAAAGCAATATGTACCTTAAAAAACTGAAATTCGAATTATCAACAAATATTGTTCCGACTATATTAGTGTATATAATTATGCAAGCTAGACTAAGATTTAACAGTATGTCATATGATACATTGTAGAATTTCTTAAATCTAAGTTTTTTTTTTTTTTATGGACCCACCAAAATGTTAGGTTGAAGCAACATAATTGAATATATGCTAAATGGATAACAAAAAGGAGGATCCTGCAGTGGAAAAAGAAATGAAAGTGGAATTCCATCAACTGGCCATGGTCTTCAACCTTTCTTTCTTTCTTTCTTTATCCAAAAAAAAAAACACTTTAATGAAACATTGAGAGAAAATTAAAGGAGCAAGGACCATACAGGCAGCTTTAATAAGTATCCAAAGTTTTCTGGGCAGCCAAACGTAAATTGAAACCAATGAAATCAGTTTCACAGTTCACAAAAACATTATAAAAGATCTAACAAATCCCAACAGCTAGGATCAAAAAGTAATTATAACCAATTTAGCCATCATGATTTAAGCTTCAATTTCAAACCTTGGACATTTAATGGAGCCCATTGATATGTCGATCTCAATCAAGTTCTCTTCCTCATTCATCATCTCATTCAACTCTGCAAGAAGCTCCATCAGACTGTGTTGCTTCCAAATGGGATATGGTGGTGGCAGGTTATAATAATCTGGCATGAACTTCTGCTGCAAACTCAACTTGCCTTCTTCTTCTTCTTTCTTGTGATCATGATGACCCACGTAATGCCCGCTTGGGAGGGCGATTTCGATGAGGCTGTCTTCGTCGGAAATGGATCCGTCTGAGAAATCCAGGCTGTGATCTGTATTATCTCGAAACGGCCAATCTGCTTCAGAATCCTCCGTCGTGGACGACTGATCCAAGCCTTCACTTTCCGATGACAAATCCTGTGATCTCATCACATGGCGATCATCTTCTCTTTCACCGTCATCTTCTTTCTGCTTTGAGATGGGCTCATCACTTTCAGGTTTCTGTTTAGATATCATCATCATATCACCAGCGGGAACTGGTGATGAACTATCTTGAACAAGATTCGACCTGAAAGATTCTTCTGTAACTGGTTTGTCCATCAATGGTGGCCTTGTTATTTGCTTGGAAAATGTGAAGAGACGGGTTGAGTACAAGATCAGAAGTGTTGATGTGAGGAAACTGGACAAGAACCCGAAGCCGAAGATAAGAAGAAGAGCAAAAACCAGTAATGGAGCAAAAGCAGGAACCCATGGACTTCTGAAGAAACACAAAAGAGAAGAAGCCATTTGATCTGCAAATATGTTATCAACCCTCCTGAACTGGAGAAAGAAAAACAGGAGAAAAAAAAAACTCTTGGACGCTTTTTGAAATAAGCCTATAAGCACATAAATTAATTTATTTTCTTCTCTTTCAGAATCTGATGAGGAGATCTGCAGGTAATAAGTTGAAGGAGATGAGAATATAGAAGAAAAAATATGTACTTTATTAGGGAAATAAAAAAGAACAAGACTGTAACAAAGAGAGAATGAGAAGTATGAAAAAGATTAGAACAATGACAAGAAAGAAGTAGGGTCTTCCTCTTTCCTTGCTTTCAGTCCAGTACTGTACATGAGCAAAGAGTAGAGAGTATAGGACAATATTATGACATAGGAAAATTCTTATATTGATTGGAGTTGAACTAAGAACAAGTGCTAATTAAAAGACTGAAGAAAACAAGCAGGGGCTTCTCTGAAAACATCAAGAGCTACTCTGAAGAATTGAAATTCTTCAAAGCTGCTTTTCTTTGCTCATATAGCAATAGAAAACACAAAACAACAAAAAAAAAGATTGTAGGGTTATATAATGGATGATTTTTTTACACAATTTGCAGAGCAAGGAGGGTAGAATTTTTTTTTTCCAAAGAAAAAAGAAATCAGTGTGCCTGGTGGGCTGTAAACAGGTAATCTGAAACTGGGTATTTTTGCAAAGAGAAGAAGAGAGGAGATAGAGAGAGAAGATACTCACAGATGGTTTTTGAGCTTATAATTATATACATTTAAGTACTGTACTATATGCAGGATACTACTTGAATTTCTGGGTTGGCTGATCACAACTTCCCATGGCTTTCCTACCAACAGGGAGGGTTTTTTAAATCATAAACATCAATCTACTAGGGTAACCTCTGCAACTGATTCTCTTGAAACTAAAAAAAAAAAGGAAAGGAGTTGAGAGCTGAGGTTTTACTGTAGTTTGTTTACAGTCTCAAAGCTTGGAAATAAGAGAAGGCCATGTGCAGACATCTGAGCTCACCACATGGCACTTTCCCTCCATCTTCAAATACTGAAAAATATTATTATACAATAACAGTAGATACCCAGAACAGAAACATATATATTAAGTATATTATATATATACACAAATTACGCTCCTCCTGCCATATCTCTGCAACCCCCAATGACCTTATATTATACCATATATACCTTTACCTCTATGAACAGTGAAAAGGAAAAAGACAGAGAACTCAAGAGTCAAGAATCCCTCTATTATATGTGCTGATTTCTCCTTCAAACCAAACATCTTTTTTTTAAAAAAAAAAAAATACTTATAATTTCTAAAATATTTATAATCTCAAAAGACCAGCTCTCTATTTATTTATTTTCTGTACTGAAAAGATCATTGCCTTCATTTCTCTGAGCCAGTGTACTGTTATACACAGGAGATTTATGAAAGAATTTTTAGTGGAGTTTATTTATAATACTAGTTTCAAGAAGACCCATCTAGTCAACTATCAAAGCTTTTTCCTCTGCTTAATCATCAAAACCTTTACAGCGCATATATATATGTATATATATCTCAAAAAGAGTACCAGCTAGCTAGTTGTCAATTATATTTAAGTTTCATGTGTGAAAGAAAATTAACCATTAAGCTTGCAGTTCAAGAACAACAAAAGACTTTTAGAGTGAAGAGAAAAGAAGTAACAGACTTTTTTTTCCCAGAAAAAGGAAAAAAAAAATCTTTTAATCATTAGTAGAAAGTAGAATATTCAGTTGCAACCACTACCGACTTATAATTTTGTCTCGGAATAAAAATATTCTCATAAGTAGATACTGAAGATTTTGCCTTGATTATTATTGTAATCTCGTGGAAACTGATTGAAGCAAATCCTTAGGAGTCGTTAAAGTGATCAGATTACAAAGAATTAACAAACCCAATGCCGTCATGCATCAAATTAGATTAATTAATCTCATGATTATAATTATATATATATATACATATAAGATGATGATTATACAAGTGGTACTTGGTGGTGATGATGGTAAATTAATCTAGTTCCTTTTTTTTTTTTTTTTTTTTTTTTTTTTGTTGGCAAATGGGTGTTTAATTGTAGGAGTAATGATATTGAGTTTCAAGTAGAAGAGTATTATAATTAATGGTACTTTCGGCAAATTTGAGGCAACTTACCCAAAATTAGCATGTACCAGTCCCTACCTTCCCAGATATCCCGCCAGAAAGCAAAAGCTCGAGGCCGTGATAAGCTGGTGATCAGAGTTGACGTACCTTGATCGTCATAATTTATATCATTAATATTTCACATGATAATATGGCACTTAGATATGATCGTGTGTGTGTATATATATATATATACATGCTTTGCCGTACCACTCTTCCATAATCCCCATATATATATATATATATATATATATATGTAACTAAAGTGTCACAGGCACTCACCTTGTGATTTTACTTTCTCAGAATCAAGTTTGAATCCACAAAGATTATAGTTATAATTATATCATGGCATTTTAGCAAGAAAATAAAGGTACAACCATCTTACAGAATAAAATCTCAATACTTATTACCATGTATGATAAAAGAAATATATTTCCAGTACAAGAAATTATCCTCCCATTTATATTCGATTTGAAAAATATTAAAATTTACACAGTAAAATGTGGATGCATGGACCTGGGGGTGATCTACTCTTCGGGAGAAACTATTTTCCAATAGAATAAGATTACCGTTGCTTTAGTATGACCAAGAGTTGAGGATTTAGTGTGACGCAGATGTGTGAATACATCCTATTTGCGAAGCAAAAGTTAGTCCAAAAAAGAATATGGGTAGATATTATTTGGTACGATGTGTGGTGAATATGAAGAATCAATAAGTTTACTATATATCCAAAATATATGATTATACTGATAAAATATAATGAATTAGTCTGTTTAATTAGGTAATTTAATAATTTATATAGTCCAAAAAGATTGAAGATGGTGTAACTCTATGATCATAAATCTCCTAAAATGTAATAAAAGAGACGTACCAATGAAACTCATATATGTCAAAAGACATTAGGGGATGGAAGAGTATTGGTATTACTTGTTGAGATTGGGATGAACGAGTAATCTTCACTATAATATATAAAAGTTCTATTTTCATATTCAATAGAAGTTACATATATATTAAAATTGATTAATTTATAAATTAAAAATAATTTAATCAAAAGATACCTGCAACACAATTATAAAATATTATTTTTAAATTTCTTTACTACCATGTTTTTATTTTTTATTTTTTTAGATTGTTGGTAGAAGATGTGATAATATTTAATTCATTTATTTTTAATATATATATATATATATATATTTTATGTTTAAACATTTAAACGTTACAACTAAGTAGTTCATGTTTTACCCGTAGAAACACATGTATTTAAAACAACTACATTACTCGTAGAAACACATGTATTTAAAACAAGTACATAAGATTTTTCTTATAGCATTGAAAAATAATATAGGCTTTCTTTTTCCTCCCAACAATATCAAAGAAAGTAATATTGAATAATAATATATCCTTTTTGATTCTCGATCTTCTTGATATATAAATAAAAGGCTCTACTTGTAGATTAATTATACCCATTGTGAATATGTTAACATTAATTTCATGACATCTTGCGTGGGTGAAAGCCCCATGCCAAAATCTATGTAAAGATTGCTATCTATCTTTCCTACAATGCGACACTTACTAGTTTATATACTCTCTACGTATGTTCTTCTTTTAGACTGTTTGTGTTCTGTGTTAGTAATTACTCTGGTCGACTGCTTTTGTTTTTTCAATTAATTTTCCCTCATCTTTTTTTCCTACAACCAAAGTAGCAAGTTGACGGCAAGCTTTATACACAGACATATACGTATATATATATACGCACACTCTTCCAAAATACAAAGTAAAAAATGTGACCTTGCATGTGCTTCATCAATCAACTTACATGCATAACCATTGGATCGAATTACATTAAAAATCCTTAATTGTACGAGATCTGTTTGATGCCATGCAATTTCTTCCACATAACTTTTCCCATTTGGTTTAGTTTATATCATTGTATTCTCTGCTGGTTCCAACTATTTTACACCTATAATCTTAACATAATTTTCATATTTGGTTTGCTAATATGGGTCCTCTTGATATATTTAACACACACACACACACATATATATATATACAGGGTATTTCATATCTCATTTATCAACTTCAGAAACTATTTCCTTCAAAATTTTCCTCGCAAAACCATACATATGTATGTATTGTGTTTTGGTTAAGATACTAAAAGCAATTTCAAACATGAGATAAATGATTATATAATTAATTAATTATATAAAAGTCAAAAGTGTAGATATCGTGAAAAGAAATGTTAATTTAGTAAGAGGAAAAAATTAGCAAAAAAGAGGGTGCCACTTGTCGGCCAGTTGTGCAAGTAAAGCAGTGCCCCGTGAATCCTCGTTGAAGAGAAATTTTTTTAATTAATTTGTTGAAGATGAAGGAGGTTTGCAGGGGTTGAAGGAGCAATTGTATTGAGAAGAGGAAGATCAAGTTTAAGGAATGTTTTAGGGTGTGAATTTCGATTGAAGATCGTGGTAGGGGACCTCCTCTTGAATTTTGAGACAAACAAACACGCCTTTGATTATTGCCCTATTTACCTAGGGTTTTATATATATATATATAATTTGTCTGTATGTAAAGACAAATTATGCATGGTGAATCTTTCATATTGCAGATGGTGAAGTTTAACCTATATTATAGTACCTGCAAAATGATCCAATTTCAACATGATTTACTGCTCACTCAAATGTAAAAATTAAGCTAACTAAATTCAACACTCCAACAATATTTCTTAACTTTACCAGTTCGATCTTTAATAACACGAGAAAACTCTGTTATCGTCGACCTCGAGTTCCATTGATTTTGCAAAAATGTTTATAATAGAATTGTTGAGATAAGAATTCTCTTATAGTCTCTATTGGAGAGAGATCTGAAATTACTGTGTGAAAATTAACAAAACATGCATATATACACACACATATATATATATATATATATATCTATTAAAATGAAAAAACAAATATTTACATGGTGATATAGGTTATTGAAAGAGTATGTTTTTAATAGACTATAATATTTAATAATTAATAAAACTGGGATTTTTTTTAACGTATGCTTCTTTTCTAATTTTCAAAATTCTCAAATTATTTTTATTCAAAAAAGGAATTCAAAACTCAATTAAGTTGGTTAAAAACTATTATTATCATCATCGTCCTTCGATTCAATCCGACCTGAAGGGCTCAATGGAATTCGTAAAAGAGCAAGTGGGTTAGCCCATTTATCATGTCTGAGACCGAGACCAAAAGGGGATATATATATATATATATATATGTAGACACACATATACATATACATATATATATATATACACACAAAAAGCTACGTATTTAACAATAAGTTAAAGGAAACTATAAAGTTTAAGTAAAATAGTAAGTAAACAATAAGGAAAGACTAAACAAGATATATTTGAAGTGACCTCTTAAAAGTCTAGCGGGAAGCCTCCTAACATCACGTACCATGATTCTCCATCTAATATATATATATATATATATATAATCATATAACTAATCCACTATGAGTTTTTAGTCAAATAAATCTTTTAGTACTTATAACAACATTTAAAACATTAACAGTTGGTAATTTAGTTGATAAATAATAAGTATATTTTTCATTATTTGGGTTTAATTTTTTGTTAATTATACTCTAGAACCAAAATTGCTAATTAAAAAATGATTATGTTTATTGCTTATATATATATATATATATATCCAATTGGTCACTATTAGTCGTCAAGTCCTATTACGGGAAGTATTAGAAAAAGTCAAAGATATTCTTGGTTGCTATCATCAAATATAATGAATCTTAATTAATTAGAATAGTGTTTAAACAAATTATGTGAAGTATCAGGAGATAAAACTAATGAGATCATTCACATTTCAAACTTCTCATAATCTATTATATATGTG